CAAGTTCAGTATTTCCGACTCTATAAGGAATAAGAATGATTTTCTTTTGTGAAACATGATTGGAGAGGAATATGGAGGTGTACAGGGTAGAAAATTTGGACCCTCCCCCGACACAGACTGCTACAGACGGGGTTCTGCCCCATGACAGACCATGACTGATGTTTTGATAGGCTATGAGCGATCATACATTACTGGCATCTCATATGAATGAGCAAACTACTTTCTTTTGAAAGTTTCAAAGGCCTAAGTAAATGATGAAAAAATGGACCCCAAGATAGGTTGAACAAAAACCAATATTTCCATGATTATTAGAACGAAAATATTTCCTAAATTTTCCTCCCGACTTCGATGTGTGCTCATGAGAAGAATCGACCAACACAATAAAGAATATTTCCAAAATTTTAAAGTTCTTAGAAGACTTTAAAAAGTGACATACTCTGCCATTAACCATTTCAGAAAGATCTTTTATAGTTTTTTAATGATGCTTGATTATTAATGCTATAGAGGATTTCATCAAAAAATACAAGTTCATTATCGGATCAAATGATTCCTGATTGTAGTGAATGTTGCAGCCAAAAGCATGTTCAGTAAAGTACAGACCGTTCGTATTCGAAATGAACAGCTCAACACGAAAAAGTGTATTTGAAAAAACTAGTTTTTATTGTTGTCTGTTCGGATATTTGCTCTTGGAATGGATGGGTGTGGGTCGGTGCGCGGGTGGGGTGTGGGTGGGGGTGATATACGAGTGTGGGTGTGAATGTGGGTGTATCCCTATCTTCTTTATTCACCCACATCCACACACTCACACCAACACCTACACGCACACACACACGCACACTCACACACCCCACATCCACATCCACACCGACACCCTGAAAAGTGTCCTTTAACTCAATCGTCTCTTCGGTAAGTAAGAGGATTGAGATATAGTTTAAAACAGATGAAAATAAAGTTTAATCCATATGACAACAATACAGCATTGAAAAATACAATTGAATCAGCTAAGTACTGTAGTTATGACAATCTGTCAAGGAATTTTGAGGTATGGAATTGTCACTTTGTTTTCAATAGATCGCTTAATTCAACAACTCGGATATGTAAACACATATTTAAACTGTTAAACGATTTCGAAATCGTAAATTAAATGTTCCGAAAAGAAAAACTCGAAAGGTAATATAAAAGGGTTTAGGTTGCACAACAGGCTTGTAACCATCCATTATTTTGTTTTCTTATCAGTGAATATGCACGGCCATAAGAAGATATCCTGAAATAGCTATGCACATTATCTTGTGTCTATATCTTGCTCTCCCTTTCCATTTGGTTTTACTCATACTTTCTTTATACGTGATAAACAGTAGAAGAAGACCACCTTGGTATCTTCTCTCTTTGGTTATCAAATGCTGAAACAATTATTCTTGGCCGTAGTCTGTCTGATTTTTGCTACTCCTAATGTTTCTTCCAAGAATATCGGATGGGACGCAGCTATCGCCAAAGCCAAAGCATTCGTCGCTCAAATGACATTGGAAGAAAAGTGCAATTCAACGGCGGGCGTACCTAGTCCATGTGCCGGATATGTTCCTCCTGTTCCTCGCCTCGGTTTCAATGGAATGTGTCTTCAAGATGCACCATCAGGTGTTGGAGACGGCGTCGGATTTGTCACTTCTTTCCCCGGTGGAATTCACACAGCAGCTATGTGGGATAAAGACTTAATGTTCAAGAGGGCGTCGATCATAGGACAGGAATTTCGTGAGAAAGGCGTAAACATTGCTTTGGGACCAATGATTAATATCGATCGAAATGCTTTACATGGAAGAAATTGGGAAGGATTCGGATCGGATCCATATCTATCGGGAATGAATGCTTATCAATACGTGCTTGGCTTGCAAGAGCAAGGTGTAGTGGCCACTCCAAAACACTACATCGGAAATGAACAGGAAACAAATCGGTTATCAGATAGTTATTCAGCAAATATCGATGATAAAACCGTTCATGAAATCTACTTATGGCCATTTGCCGATGCTGTATATGCCGGTGCTGGATCAGTAATGTGTTCATACAATCGAGTGAATCAAACGCATGCTTGTCAGAACAACAAGACCCTGAATGGATTGTTAAAAAATGAACTCGTTTATAGAGGAAATGTAATGTCTGATTGGGGTGCCACACATGCAGGTGTTGAATCGGCGCTAGGTGGATTGGACATAGAAATGCCAGGTGGATCTGGTTTTATGGGTTATGCTCTTCTCGCTAAAGTACATGACGGATCGCTCTCCGAAGCGAGAGTGAATGATATGGTCACACGCATCTTTGCACCATACTTTCTACTAGAACAAGATCAAAGTTTTCCGAAACTCGATTGGAATCGCGATGTGACACACGATCATTACAAGGTGAACCGAGAATTAGCCAGAGCAGGCATGATTCTATTAAAAAATCTAAGGAATACATTGCCGTTGAATGCCAGTATGGACAGATTGTTGACGATTTTTGGAGCAGCAGCGACACAATATGATGGTGGATTGAATCCGGGTGGAGGACCGACCGGACAAGGTTATGATGGTGCTATATATCAAGGTGGTGGATCAGGTAAGAAAGACATGATATAGGATCTGCATTTTTCTCTCTGTTCAGATCAAAAAACCAATTTTTCAGGAGGAGACTATATTTAGTACGAAAGATAGGTGTTTTGTACGACCAAATCAATTTTTGAGGAAGGAAGGTTTCTTACGATTTTTGCTTACTAATAGTTCCAGAGAATTTCCAGCTCCCCTGTAGGTTGTTGAAGTCTTATTAAATAATAGTCCTGCGTTATACTAGGTTTCGTTAAGCCAACTTATGGTGTCGATCCACTCAGCGCTCTTCTTGCCAAAGCCCGTGATTCGAACTTTCAAATCCAATTTGTAACCAGACAGACCGATTTTGATACCGTCAGTTCACTTGCTTCTGCGCCACTTTGTCTCGTCTTCATCAGTGCCTGGTCGAGTGAAGGGTCAGATCGGCAGAATCTTAATGCTTGGAATCAAGGAGACAAGCTTGTTCAGACTGTAGCGGCGAAATGTGCCTCGACTATTGTCTTAGTCAACAGTGTATCTCAACTTAATTTGGAGGCATGGATTGAATGGGACAATGTAAGCGCAGCCATCTGGACAGGAATACCAGGATCCGAGTACGGGAATGCCCTGGTTGATATTCTCTTCGGCGACTACAATCCAGGAGGAAAACTCGTCTTCACTATAGCAAAGAAGGATTCGGACTATGGGACAAATATTACGCAAACGCCGGATTCGAACTATACTGAAGGTGTCTTTCTTGACTATCGTCACTTTGATGCCGCAATGATAATGCCGAGATTCCATTTTGGCTATGGTCTCTCTTACACTACCTTCTCTCTTACTGATTTGAAAATTGCCAAAGTTATTGATCAAACTTCAAGCAATATTTCTGATCTCTATACTCCTGCCTACATAGTCTCTCTCTATATTACAAATACAGGCAACGTTCGTGGTTCAGAAGTAGTTCAACTGTATTTGGGCTTTCCTGATGAAGCAGCTGAACCACCAAAAGTATTAAGAGGATTCTCAAGAGTTTATCTGGAGCCAGGTGAGACTATGATCGTAACATTAACAATGAGAGTGAAGGATATTGCGTATTGGAATGTAATTACGCAACAATTTACAGTGGCTAAGGGTAATTACAAGGTTTATGTGGGTACATCAGCAAATTGGGATGATTTGAAATTACAAGGATCATTCACTGTATAAAATGACACTCTAGCATCTTATATTTGTGTGATTTTAATTTTTTTGATTAGTTTATAGAATCAATTCTTCTATATAATATTTTGTCATATGGTGATTTTAAATCTCTGATGAAAAACAGAAAGACTTTTTATTATTTATTTGCAGAAAAAAAATGATGACCTTTTCCGTTCTATCAGTACATAAATTCTTGAAAAAATACAGAAAAAAGGTATTATTGACATAGTAACAAAAAATAGTATTATTATAACTTAGAGAAGAAAGAAAAAATGAACAAGAGACTACGATTTCTTACGGCACTTCTTCATATTTATTTTGTCCGTATACAATTATTTTCCTTCCTTACGCAATATATGTGTACAAACATTTTGGACTCATAAATCAACCCAGCCGAAAATTAGAAGGTTTCAGGAAAATGAGAGAGCAGAAAAATTTCTTCTGTTTTAAAGGAGAGTAGAGAGTCCGTAATCGCATTGTCTCCACACCAAGAAACACACTTTTCCAGCACGAAGATGTTTTCAACAAAATGCTTGGACACGCGCAACCCTCCAATACTCCTACTTCTTTTTCTTCACATAGTTCTATAAAGGTTTAAAATAGCTTACTCGTATCATAGGTTCCCGTCCATAGATTGTGACAATGCTCTTAAATATCTGTCCCAATGGGCAGAGCAACGATCCTCTAATGATCTTTCATTAGATACGAACGCGTAGAAGGGATGATGCCGTTCTAGATGAAATGAGATTCTTTTCAAAAACGTGTAGTAAAAATGTGAAAGATCGCTACGTTGCTTATCGGTAAAGAGTGGAAAAATCGCAAATAACCAATTGAGGAGTGGTAGAACAAAACAAGACCATAGAGTTCTTCGAAGCTTATAAGAAGTACTACCGTTAAAGCGATATGCTCTGATCATGTTTATTCTCTGTCGTATTTTCTGTTGGGTTTTTTTAATCATTAGCTCCCAGACCAATTTTTCTGATACATAATATTCGAGATATTTATAATCCTTAACCCAATTGATGTCATTTCCACCGCAACACGCTTTTGGTGAAGGATTGATAATTGCTCTTGCAGACCACATACTTTCAGTTTTAGTGTAATTTATTGGTTGGAGATTTAGCTGAGAATATAATTCTAAATTATCAAAAAATTTCTTTAGTCTTTTTCCTCAATCGACACACTGATCAGTATAACGAATTCCTATTCTTCCCGCTACCGCAGCAGCCAAGTCGTCTGCGAAAAAAAACGGTAAGCATACTTCCAGAAAATCACCCATATCGGAGTGAGATGTTATGAAAAGCGTTGGTGTAAAACAAGATCCTTGAGGCCTTTCTTTCCTTATACTTATCCACTTTGATCTGACTCCTTTTATTTAGATAAAGCCGCGTCTATTTCCTAACCACGACCTGATCCATTTTAAATATGAATGTGGGATTCCCATTATACGCAGTTTCGCTATACATTCATCAATTCACAACCGATCGAAAGCACTCTTGAAATCAATGAATACAGTGACTACAGGCAACGAGTTCGACATTAGAGATGATATTTGCCAGGTAAAAAGTAGAGCTCGTGTTTGCAGATGAAACCCCGAACGAAATCCTGTTTGTGATCCGGGTAATAAGCCGCGTCTATCTATTAGTTTTCCAAATCGATTTGTAAATAGTCTCTCGTTGATTTTTAAGAAAACATCTAATAGTGAAATGGAATCTTTTTTCGCGAGTACAATCATTCTTGCCTCACGCTATAAAGTTGGAAGAATCGCGGTGGAAGATGAATGATTAAAAGTTTTCAACAGGAGAGACCCATAGGAATCCGGAAGAAAATTTAAAAAATAGCTCGAAATGCCATGGGCATCGCATGACTTATTCTTTTTAAGATTTCGTGTAACATCTAAAACTTCTTCGAGTATCGCTTCCGGTATTTCCTCTTCGTAAATTTCGGAGTTGGTAAAAGAGGCATCGACATGAGGGTGAGGACGTTGGATACCTTCTGGACGAGGTTCTTCAAACTGTTTCTCGTAAAAGTCGGCCGGTATTTCTACCATCTTATAGGCTGTTCTCACCACTTCACCGCTTGGTAAAAAGCACACATTTAGAGAAGTTGATGATGTTTTGAAAAATCTTTTCGTTTTTGACCAAAATGCTATTGAAACCGAAGCTGAAGAATGACTTTTAGACACACTAAATGTTAACTGGGAGTTAATGAACGATTTTAACTCGTGTTTCATAATTTTTCGTAACCGGTTTACTTCGTTCATTAAACCTGAGTCACTCGTACGTGTCTGCTCGAGCCATAAAGCACGCATCTCCGGTGTGATGGCAATGCAATATTTTTCTATCGGAAAATACGTAGTGCACCTAGCAGAAAGAAGAAACAGAAATCGCACATATGCATCATACACCGAGTTCAAATTTGATAGTTGCCAGCGTGCTTCCCAAAATCAGAGAACTGTTGACAGAAAAAATGAAAAATCTTTGAAGCGAATATTTCTACACAGTTTAACCGCCTTAGATTTGATTGGGATAGAAGAGAGAATAAGTTTATGATTACTAGTTGTTGCTCCAGAGTAGACTTGTAATTCCACAAAAAACTTAGAGAACAATGCATAGTCTGTCACTCTATCCGATCTCAAGCTGGTCGATTCGTCGGGTGTATAAGGAGCTAGAGAGCAGGAATCAGCCCATTCCAAGAAATTTCCAGCTTTTTAACCATCCTTTTCAAGCTCAATGTTAAAATCTCCAAAAACTACCAACTTTTCACTACAGAGTTTTGTTAGATCTTGCCGATTCTATGTTTTACTTTCGGAACCATAAAGCCTGATTAATCTTATACGTTCTTCTAATTCGAGATCAAGAACGACAACATTAGGAATTGCGCAGTCCAAGCGTTTAACTTTGAAATCATTTCTAATTAGAATGACAACACCACCATTACGGCTTTCCCCTATTTGGACGAAGAAGCGATGTTTGGGGTGGGTGTCGTTATACTTAATGTCGTAGGTCGTACCCAGAATCACAGCCGCACCCATCCCACACCCGCACCTTTAATGGAGGTCGTCTATTATGGCAGGAGTTTACTGAAAAATTATATTGCCAAATCCAAACTGTTTGGATATTTAAAAACAAAATCCAAAATTAATCTAAACCAAATCCAAACACTAGATAACAAATCGAAACCAAATCCAAATATCAGAAACCGAATCCAAATCAGAATTCAAACATAGCATACAAATCCAAATTCAAATCCAAATCTATCTCGAGATTTGTTGCATCCCTAAAATAATGTATCGATGTAATTAGTTTTGATGATTTCTCTTTTTCTTGGATGATCTGATCAATGTGGAATGTTTTTCATTAGCATATTATAATAGAACAGAAGAATATGACAATCAAATTGAGTGGATGTGAGTGTGGAGCAGAAAAGGGCTCCATACCCGCACGTGCACATCCACACTTACCCACATCCATACGCATACCTAAACTGAGCTTTCTATTGTTTAAAATGACGAAGAAATCTGGGAGGCACGAAAGCGTAAGGTGAAAATTTTGTACAAGAAGCTTTCTTTTCCTTGGTAGAAGGGTTCAGAAAAACCTATGTAATATACTTAAATCTCATCATAAGATCAATAAACCATAGTGCATTGGAGAGTAGATAGTTTTTTCAAATAAACAAGTTATCATAACAAAATCGATCTATTTGACTAACATTGACTTTTTCTGAGAGAATTCTTAATTGATTACATTGGTCAACATAATAAATATATATTTTTTATATTCTTAATCTGCTTTTCATTCAACGACAGATATCTTTAAGTATTTTATATTCTTTACGAAAAAAGAACAATCTTGCAGCGTGTATTTGCTTAAAAGATAATATACGAAGACGATATCATAGATTAATATTAGTATTAAGTACTATTATATATTAAATCAACATTTATTTATTGTATTATCAAAAATAAAAAATACATGAAAAAATGGTTTGATTTCAAGTTCTATTTAAATAGAGATTCATTGATCGAATGAATTACTTCAGTTGAAGACAAAAAAAAATGATTTCTCTTATTGTTATATTTGTAATGTTTTCTTTGAGTAATGCATGGACGTGTGATTTTGATTATGGACAAATATGTTTGAAAGGTCTTCCATCAGTTTCATTTGTTTTATTAAATGAAACAAGTCAACAAATAAGACAACCTGCTTCCGATGTTACTTCTATCCGTAAGAAATAAAATATTATTTATCAGATTCAACTTCATATTATTTTATAGTTACATCGAATGATCAAGGAAAATGCTTTTTTCCTTATAAAATTAATTCATTTGATATGTTTTTCTGTTTAAAAACTGATCCTGATCTTCCAGCAACATGTCCTATTGAACATGAAAATGGTCCTAAAATAAATTGTAGTGAAGGTATTTTCAAAAATAAAAATCTTTCATATTTATAATTTGATTATATTAATCTAGGCGAATATGGATATGAAAAATTTGAAGAAAACCAAATAGGATCTCGTTCTTATGAATTAGAATCACTTCCAATTTTATCAATTGGTCATCATTGTATACGATTATTTTATTATTTTTCTGATGGAAATTCAAATGGAACTATTCGAATTATCTTAGAAGATTCCCAAACACGTCAAAACCAAACTATTCTCACAGTTTCATCATATGTAGCTAACAAATGGCATGAAATCAGACAAAATTTTCAAATATTTAATTCAATTTCCAATGTAAATTTTACTTTTCTTTAAATAACTTATTAGATAATTACTTTAGATGTTTTTTATATTCGAACGTGGTTCTTCAAATGCAGAGTCATTTTATATTGCTATTGATGAAATAACTCTTATTGATCTTTATTGTGGTATCAATAATTTACATATACGTTTATTATACTCTTATTTTATTTATTTTGTTTTTTTCTTAGAACCCATCAGTACAATAACAACGACACCACCACCAACAACAACAACAATAACAGCGATAACAGTAACAA